GCTTATAAATTTTGGAGATGAATCCTTTGTCAGTTGCTTCATTTGCAAATATTTTCTCCCATTCTGAGCACTCCCTAACACCATACACAAAAATAAACTCAAAATGGATTAAAGACCTAAATGTAAGGCCAGAAACGATCAAACTCTTAGAGGAAAACATAGGCAGAACACTCTATGACATAAAAGCATGCTTTTAAGTGGAAAACTTGGTGAGTGGCTGTTCTCCACCTCTAATCAGTATGAACCAGAGGAAATAAACTGCCAAGGTGGTATCTTAAGGTCATTGTAAGGCCCACTTTTGAAGATGTGACAATAGTTAAACACTAGAATGGGTCATAGAATTTGGCTGGGCACCCTCCTCCAGAGGCCTTTGTTGAAAGAAGCAGCCTTGTGTTCTGCAGAGCTGCAGGTGACACCCGGCATAGACACGGGCATGACCTGGAGAACTTGGCTCCCCAGATTCTCTTCTAGATTGGGAGAGAAAAGAACTCATGTAACATTAGAGGCTTTTAGCAGCATCTGGAAAGAAACAGACAGATATGAGGCCCACGGTTCCCACTGGCCCACCTTTCACCAACATGCCAGGGCCCCTTCTATCAAGCCACCCCTGTGTTATTTGTTTCAAAACTTGTGCCTAAATCTTTGCCTGCAAAGATGTGAGCCATCTTGGCAAATGGTTGTTCAGAGAGTCCTTGCTCACAAAACTTCTGTCTGCAATATTTGGATTGGCTACCAGGCCTCTCACTTTTGCACATAAGCTGACCTCACCTTATCTCTGGGTCTCTTCCAGAGAGGCAGAAGTTATTTGGTGGTGATGTAAGAGGAAACACAGATTCCTCTTGGAAACCATTTTTATAGGGGTTGGCTGCATGGTAAGGGATGGAAACAGGGGTTAGAGCAGAGTAGAGTGAGGAGGTGAATAAATCCATGATTAGCCCCATAGTGTTGTCCACGTGGCTGAGGGAGCCAGAAGCCCAGGCTGCAGCAAACGGGGCCCCCAGGAACACAGACGCAGAGAGCACTGCTGAACGCTGGCTGCCTGGCTCCCCCTGCGGTTCCAGGGCAGAGCCCTGAGGAGGCTGTCCTCTGGTCTTGGCTGTGTCCCAGATTAGCACTTTGTCCCTGGGCTACGTATCCACTCTGGGTCTGATTTCATTATCTGCAAGAGGAAAATATTTGTGCAAACATCTCTTAGGTTCCCATAAACTCTATGTTCTCTCATTCTGTATGGCCTTGTGTTTTGGTTTTAAATATTAACGATACCTTTTACCTGTATGGTGCTTTATGATTTATAAAGCACTTTCACATGCTTGCCTCATTTGATCCTCACAACCATGCTACGAGATAGGTAGAACAGAAATTATTCTCCCTATTTTAGAGATTAAGAAACTGAGGATCAAGGAGGTTAGATAATGTGTTATTACACAGACAAAAAGTGGAAAGCCAGGACTCCAGCCCTGGTCTGCTAACCTGAGCTCAGTTCTTCATCTTTTGTGGAGGAGGGTCTAGTGTGCTCTTGAAATTGGATAATTATGGATCATCTATCTAGAAAAATGAACTTGGGATTCTTAGATGCTTAAGCTCAACATGGACCCCAGGTAAAATCCCCTTACTCTCAACCACCCTATGAACTCTTGCAAATGTGTGAACGCCTTGTTTCTCTGACTAGATTGCAAACTCCTTGGAGGTTCAGGCCATGTGTTTTCTCTTCCCTCCTATACCCCTCCAGCAAGTGTCACAGAGCCAAACACCTAGCAGGGGCTGTTGCATTGCCAGGAGAGGAGAAACAAAGTAAGAATGTGAAATACATAAATGGGACAGATGTATGTTTCCACATTTGACCACTTGTCCCAAAAGAACTATTATCCTTGTACTAGTTCTGCCCTAGACAGTAATCTGATTGCCAGACTATTCCCCAAGTCCTAGAATACAGCACAATTTCCCCTGATGGCAACAGCAATATCTTTCCCCTCAGCATGATTTTCCAGGCACAAGATGGGCTCATAGGTACAAAGAGACATGGCCTCAGTGATCTCATGCCTCAGGAGCCTGATGTAAGTAAAGAAGTCCTACTGGCCCCCTTAGCTGAGGAGTAGAGGTGAATTACTTTGGGAGGTTCTGCTCTGAGCTAAAGCTGAGAGGAAAAGGAGTGCTGAGGCAGGAGCAGCCAGAGCATCTGAGGAAAGGTGCCACTGGCATCTGGGTGACTGGAAGGAGAGAGTGCCTTCTGCCAGCAGGAGGGATGGGCGGGTCTGGGGAATGAACCAATAAGGCTGAGCCCAGGGCCTGTGTGGGTTCTCTGACCACCTGTGCACACTTGGCACCTAACCTCAGTGCAGTCTTGCTTCATGTCCCTAGACCCCTACCCTCATCAGTGACTGTGACTTCAGTCCTTTTGTCAGGACCACAAGGAGGGAACACTCAGTGATAATCTAGAGGTGAAGACAATCGATGTGATAAACAGGGATGGCCCCAACTTAAGACCTTTGCCCCATTATTACCCTGACATCTCTTCATTATCCTATATCCCAAGTCCTTACTTTCCCAGATTTGGTGGAGAAGGAGAAGGATTCCAAGACTGTTGCAAGCAGGGCCACTCCCAATAAATAAGACCATCCCATACCCTAGGGGTTCACAGAGTTGAGCTCCACTGGCCAGAAGAATCTTAATTCCAGCTGAAGGAGGTCTCTGTCTCTCCCCTGGTAGCTACCAATGACTCCACTATGAGAAGACTCCTAAGGTGATAGAATATTAGAGATTACATGTTCATCCGACACCCTCGTTGACGGATGAGGGAACTTAAGAGTATGGTGATGATATAAGTGTCCAAGGCCACCCAGGAAGTTAGTGAAACAACCTGGAATAGAACCCGGAAGTCTTGACCGAGTACCATGCCTTGCTAGTTCTTCTCCTAGCTTACCTGACCCTGGCCCTTTTAGATGCCAGAAGTCTCCAGCCAGGGGCAACTCTGAACAACCAAGCAAGGAAGATCTCAATGTGCAAAACTTCTTTGCGGAAGCAGCTGCTCTTCAGGAGACTTGATGTTACAGCCAGGACTCTGAACTCTGTCTCTGTCTCCCTGCATCCCCCCAAATTGCTATTCTAAAAGCCTTTCTGGTTACCAAGCCTGCACCCTCTGGCCAAACACAGCACCTGATCTCATCCACTAATCAGTCCTGGTGCCTCCTAGCGGTAGGTGTGAAACCCTGTCAGGTGCAAGGTGGAAGTGGAGAGCCCTGCACAGACACTTCATAAATGTTCTGCAAGTGAATAACTAAGGTTCCAACTCTTCTGCACTCTCTTTAGCCCACCACTTCTGAAAGCATCCAGCAAACTTGGATTCAATCTGCGGATCAATCAAGTCAAACAAACAGATATTTATTCAGCTATAATTGGGAAGGCAATCTACCAGGTGCTGAGCTCTATACAAAAACTGGTCTGAGTCCTTGCCTTCAAAGGACTCACAGGCCAACTCGGGGAGACCAGGTGAAATTATATTTGGATTATATTATAAGGCAGCAATACAAGAAGTGCCATGAAGCAACAAATGACCATTTGCAACACTATTGGAATAGATAATTTGTGTATTGGTGCACAAAAGAACACCATGAACTGCACAGGCCAGGGAAGTCTGTGGAAAAGGAAAAATCTGATCAGGACTTTAAAGGATGGGAAGTGGAGAGAAGGGATGAGCATTTCCGAAATTAGCAACTGTAAGAAAAGGTACAAAAATAGAAAAATACAAATGTATTGAGGGTAGTGAGTAATAATAATCATAATAGTAGATGATGCTTATCATGTATCAGACATTGTTCTCAGCAACTAACATTTATTAATTCTCTTGATTCTCATGCAATTCAAACTATTTCTATTATTAAGCCACTTTTACAGTTGAGGAAACTGAAGTGTAGAGAGGTTTAAGTAACTCACCTGAGGATACAAACTGTAAGTGACTGAGCTGGGATTTGAGCCCAAAGGCTATACATCCAGCCACTGCTTTATACAGCTTCTTTCTTTGTGGCTAAAGGAATTGATTTGTTGAAAATGTGTGTTGGGGGAAAATCACAGAGGATCTTGATTTTTGTGGGCAGCAGGGAACCATTAAAGCTTTCTGAATAGGGAAGTGGATCTGGATTTAGGTTTTTATTTTTTATTTTTTTTTAATTTTTATTGGAATATAGTTGCTTTACAATATTGTGTTAGTTTCTACTGTACAGCAAAGTGAATCCACAATACATATACATGCTGGATTTAGGTTTTTAAATTGAAATACATACAGGAAGAAAATCCTAAGGACACATTCATATAGGAAAAAGCACAGAGAAATATATTAGCACATACATGCAGATGTTCTTCCTTTTCATAGAGTGCCTTGTCCAGAGTTACTTCTGGTGGCATCTCAGATCTTAAACTACCAGATAATCAAATCCTTGGTCAGTGGCACCGAGGGAACAACCAAAAGGTAATCGGCCCTCAAATCTGCCCAGGCACGTGCTCAAAAGCTAGGGACAGAGATAGGCTTGGAGGGTGGTGTACATACGGAAATAGGAGGCATCAGGAGAGAGTGGGAAAGAGTGGAGGGATGGAAGGTATCAGAGAACAAGTGAGAGGTCAGCACAATGAATTGGGACCTCAATTCAGCAAATTACAGCAATGTAATTCAGCAATACCTTAACCATGATTGGATTGAAGCTTCTGGAAGAAAATAATATATTGTTGAATATTTTATAATAGCAGATAATTGAATATTTTGTAATAGTAGATATTTATTTAGTCTCTTCCCTCGATTTACAGGCTGAAATGGAAAATTCCTTTCATGCACAGAATGCTTTTATTTCTCTCTCTCTTTCTTTTTAAGACTCAATTTTGCTAATACATTCCAATACAGCTGAACTTGTTCTCATGACCATCCACTATAATGAACGTGGGACAGATGAAGTAATAAGACCTCTGAAAGGGAGGTAACTGAAATGAGAACATCTTTTTTTTTTTTTTTTCAGGAACTATATGCACAAAGGAGCCTGCTCAACCCAATGAAGTAAAAACATTAGGTAATTTGAGTCCTGAGCAGAGATTAGATAATGGTCTTGGATGGGACCTTGGGAACAGTCATGGGAGATGAGGCATCATCCTGTTGAGATGGTCTTTGGGGAATATCTGGTTTGTGTGAGTGTTGTTTTGCTCCTGAGTCACAAAGCATGGGTTGTAGGGCTGGCCTTGGTCTGGGCTCCAGGCAAAGTTATGTACTTACCCTTGTAAACTGTGGTATTCGGTATAAGCGTTGCTGCGATTTATGTCCACGCCTTTATGACCCCACTTTTGGAAATGACTCCAAATCTGAGTTCCAGGCAGCTGTTTCATGTCCACCCACAGCAAAACAACAGATAGATGACGTAGGGGCGGCATGAGAAATGGTTTGTGAATGCCCAAATCTTGTTCTCTTGAACATACATTTTTGTTTGAAGAATGGGTTGATTCATATGTGTTTAAGAGAGGACAAAAAAATACTCTAATATAAGAAAATCAAAAGTTGTGTAGACATACCCTCTTCAATCACGTGGCATTGAGAAACTGTGGCTGTTGGTCTCCCCTGCCTTTGCTTTCTTCTCAGCTGCTACTATCTGAGAAGACTTAAGCCCATGCCTGACGTTGAGTCATTTCTGGCTGAGGCTATGCATAGGGAGTTTGGAAATGTCACATTCCCAGACCCACATTTTAGGAACCAAGCCACTACTTTTGGGCTCCTACGTTGACCTAAATTCTTCCCTTTCAGCCAGATCTGCAATATCTGGCACCAAGAATAAGCCTGGGTGCCCCTGTGGCCCCAGAGCCACAGTTCTCTCTGTGTTGGCCTTTCTCTGTATGTTGGCCCAAGTCCCAGAGGTGAACTGTTATCCCGGTTTCCCCTCGTAAATTCTGACTTATTGTTCTGCCTGGATTTCTGCTTCTTCCTCTAGCACTAGGTACTCTACCCAACTTTCATCCACCCTTGTCCCTTCTTTCCACCATGGGGTGATCTGTGATGCCAGCTCATGGAATGACTGTGCCATAGGAAGGCACATTTGCCTTATTGGACCCTCATATTGATTCCTGTTCACTTAAGTCAGTGTCTCTCAATAGGAGTGTTACGACCCCCTAGGAGATATATTGGAAACTCCAGGGGGCATTTTTGATTGTCACAATTATTAGGAGAGGCACTAGTGACGTTTATGGAGAAGAACGAAGGATGCTGGCTATTTGATCATGTGCAGCACGAGCACTACACCAAGAAGTGTGGTGTGTCCTGTGCAACCTTCAAAAGTCACACTGGACATTTGTGTGGAAAAACCTGTTTATAATTATCTGGCTGTGAAACTCAATCCCATTTTACTTGGAAATACAAGTTACTTCTGCATATTTTAATATACACTGACTTTTCTGCAAACACCTCCTAGGCATTTTTAAAGGAAGAGAAGATTGCACTGTATTTGTTCAGGACTTTACCAACAGTAGTCACGATTTCAGAAAAGCGCTTCGCTGCCAGCAATTTGCTCTTGTAATTTGAGTTGTCCGCACACGTGTCTCTGTCTCCATTTGTCTCTGTCACGTTCACTCAGATCTCAAAGCAACTGCTTCATTCTACCTGCTAGTTAGTCATCCCTAAATATTAATATACTCCAGTACATATTATTTAATTATAACTTATTCCTCTTCTACCAGTAATTTTCCTTTATCTTTATAGTTAGGACATTGTATTGACTTTTAGAAATGTGTATAGAAGGTTTACAACTTGTAATTTCCTTTCAGAATGATAAATGGGACCTAACAAAACATTCACTTAAAAATAGGTCATTGGATCTGATGGGGTTGAGAATCCTTGACCTAAGTGTATACTGTGGTACTGTCCATGGAAGGCAGAAAAGGACTGAAGAGGAGGTCGGTGCATTCCTGGAAGAAGGCTGTAGCTGCCTACCAGGAGGTCTCATGGGTAGCATCCCCTTGAGGAACTAACCACCTTCCAAATTCCAGTGTTTATTCTTATCAGGTTTTCAGAAGTTTTCAGAATCCAGGGTCACATGAATCACTCAAATCCATGAGGTTACTCATAGCCCTAGTACAAGTTTACAGTGGGAGACATTTCTTCCCAGGGACTGAAAAGCTTATGTCCACTGCCCAGGGCAGCCAGTCCCAGGATCAGAATGAACACAGGATACTGAAGAGAGATAAGAAGAGGCGCTCCTGTCCCATAGCAACCACAAAAGGCAGGGTCTCTCCTTGGCATAGGGCTTGGGTGTGCACTGCCGAGTTAGGATGCCTTGGGTTTTTATTTCCTGTAGTCCAAGGTGACCACTTTCCCTCTGCCCACACCCTCACCCACCTTCACACAGTCTTCCCCCAGGCATGGTACAATTCAATTGATTAAATATCTTCTACGAAATGACATTCACATTCTGGACCTGCCTTCCTCTGATTACATCTGGATTGCCTCCCTTGATTGGAGTTTCCTGAGAGCCACACATTTCAGACAGTCTCTTGCTTTACTCCCACAGGTGACTAACCACATCCATTGTGAATTTTACTAGTTCAACTCAGAAGGTGACCTTATGTCCCTGATCTCCAAATTCATGGAGAGGGAGACCTCCCACTGTTGCTTCCATATTCTGCCAAAACTGATGTCAGAAATGAGGACGGAGACTGTCTCAGCCTCCTTTCCTGCTCTGCACCAGTCCTATAGCTAGGACAGTTCTCCTGATTCTCAACTCAATTTGATAGAGAATATTCCTGCCTCACTCCAGCTCCCCACTGACTCCCCTCCAACCCCCCGGGTGGCAAAGTTTCAGCACAGATCAAACTGGAGACCACCTGAATTATGGCGATAACTGATTATGGTTCAGAATAGATAACATGGGCATCAGGATATTTGGTTTGGGGGGTTTTGTTTGTTATTTATTGTTTTCGAAGGTACAGTGACTCCACTCACATAGACTGGTCAGAGATGGAATGATGAGCTAATTAACTGAACAGTCTAGGTAATTAAGAGATAGTATATATAACATAGATGAACAATGTTTTTTTTTGTTTGTTTGTTTTTTGTTTTTTTTTTGCGGTATGCGGGCCTCTCACTGTTGTGGCCTCTCCCGTTGTGGAGCGCAGGCCCTGGACGCGCAGGCTCCAGACGCGCAGGCTCAGCGGCCATGGCTCACGGGCTCAGCGGCCATGGCTCACGGGCCTAGCCGCTCTGCAGCATGTGGGATCTTCCCGGGCCAGGGCACGAACCCGTGTCCCCTGCATCGGCAGGCAGATTCTCAACCACTGCGCCACCAGGGAAGCCCCTGAACAATGGTTTTTGAAGAATTATTAATGAAATACAGTTAATTCAAAATGTATATTAACTATAATTGAGTTGTTTTTTCATGGTTCAGAAGGGAAAAGTTCAGGAAAGTATGCTTGTGCCCCACCCACCTCTCATGATTATATTACAGACTGAAATAATTGTTTCCTCACACTTTTCATCTCAATCACCCAAATCCTCTCAGTCTTATCAGTGTTCTCCGTGCTCTTTGACTTCCCAGAATTGAAACGTTCAGTATTATTTCTGCATCAGTAAGAATCAGTCACTGTAACCTCCTTGTAGCTTCAGCTCATTTTTGCATTACTTTCATTAACTTTTTTGATTGAGTGTGAAGAAGCTTCCCTCACCAAATCAAGAATTTATGTTAGTGTATACCTGTAAGGCTTTAATTTAATGCCAGCCATTCTTCTTCATTAAAAGAAGGTACAGTAAATATAGCACAAGTTCATAGCTTTCTCCAAGAACTTTTAAATATTGAATGAACACTAAACTGAAATTTAAGTGTAAGAAATATTTTAAATTGTACATCATTTATTCATTCATTTAATTATGCATTACATGAAACATTTGTTAAACATCCATCATGTGGCAGACACTGTATTAGGCGCTGGCGATACTAAGATAGTAAGTCATGGTCCCAGTTCTCAAGGAGCTCATAGTTTAAAAGAAGCGAGACAGGTAAATAAAAATACGAGTTCAACTCAGTGAAATGGGTACTACATGGAGGTTTGCTGATGCTCAGTTGTGGCACAAAGAAACTAAATGATCAACTTTACTTAAAACAGAGGGCTACAGGGACTTCCCTGGTGGTCCAGTGGTTAAGACTCTGCGCTTCCACTGCAGGGGCGCAGGCCTGATCCCTGGTCAGGGATGGGGGTGGGGGGAGCTAAGACCTCACATGCTCCGCGGTGAGGCCAAACTAAGATTAAAAAAAAAAAAGGAAGGCTACAAAAGGTTCACAGAGGAAGATGCTTATAACAAGTTTTGAAGGAGAGGTAGAAATTTTCCTGCTAGATACAGCAAAGAAGGACATTTCAGAAAGATGGAAGAGTGTGTGCTAATGTAAAGAGGCAAGTAACAGTAATTGTACTTTGTTCCCAATAACTGGGAATTAGAAGCAGTTTGATGGCACTAATGCCTAAGACAAGACCTTATAGGAGACAGGGCTGGAAGGGCTGGATCCTAAATGGTATTGAATACTTTGATAAAAGGTTTGGATTTCATTCATTTGGCAGTCGGCAGTAATTGGGTGCTAAATGTGGAAGTGACATGATCAGATCTGTGGTAAGAAGACCACGATTCTGTGTGGATGGATATATGGTAAGATCAGAGGTAAAGAGTGTAGCTGAAAGAGTTGGCTGACTACTGAATATTCATGATGCAGGGAAGCATTTGCTCCACCAGTGTCAACATTTCCTAGATCTTTCCAGGTGGAACCCTGTGGCTAGCTCTGGCTAAAGGAATGTGAGTAAAAGTGTATAGGGCATTCTGAGCCAAGGTGGTTAAGTGAATCTACCTCATACTGTCTTCCCTTCCACAGCAGCCCTGGAGGCCTCATTGTGAAGATGGTTGTGTCACAAGATGGGAGGAAACTGGATCCCTGAGTCAGAGAAGAGGTGCCCAGGAGAGCCACCCAACCAAGAACACCTACACTGAACTTTGCATGAGTAAAAAAATAATTTGTGTGTGTGTTAAGCGTCAGAGATCCAAATATTGTTAACACTGTTAGATTACCTCAATCTAACTAATCTGACTAATGCAAAAGGAGTATTAGGAGATGTTTGCAATATTTGAGATAAGATAAAGACTTTCCATATTATATGCTGAAGTATAGGAGCCCTTGGAGAAGACAAGTGGAAGATGGAAGAAAGAGGGATAATAATTTATAGATAATATTGAGAAGGCAGGAGGAGATAGGATCCAGAGCATAAGAAGCATTAGCTCCTTCAACAGGAGGCAGGAAAGAGGGATGCCTATTTAAAACAGAAGGGAAGACACATCTATAGGTGAGCAGTAAGAAGCCACCTAGTTTTCTCTAAGACAGAGGAGGTAAAGACATCTGCTGAGAGAGTGAAAGGATAGCAATAAAGGTCCAAGACAAACATTAATAGTAATTTCTGTGAAGAACAGGAGAGAGCTGGGCAGAGATATTTAACAAGTGAAAGGCCACCAGCCCACATGGTTGGATGAATTTTCTCCAGCCCAGCTCATCATTCTGGGTGTAGGGGACAGATAGATGGATTTTAGGATTGATCCAAGGTTAAAGGATTGCAGAGTAGATGCATTGCAAGAACAAAGGAATGGTGGAATTGGCTCAGTAAGTTAGGATAGGCCTAGCTGCTGTAACCAGGGACCCAACAGTAATTCAGTTGTTCAAACAAGATAGAATTTTCCAATTCCAGGTACAATGGAGTATTCCACAGTGGATGCAGCTAAAAATAAAACAAAACAAAAACCTGGACATAATATATAGAGCAGATTTTTAAGGACTCTGAAAATTAAATAGCAGTTGGTGATTGGGGAAGAGGACTAGAATTTGAAGTACCATCAAACTGGTAGTGAGTTTGTCATCTTCTTGCTCCAATAAGCAGCATAAAACCTGAATGTGGGCATCTGCACAGAGGGAGCTCCAGGAGAATCCCTCTAGCTCTGGCTCAAAGAACAGAGAAGAGTCTCCTAATGCTCTGAGAGAGTGGGGAAACCCGCCTTTTTTCTTTTCTCCATTCTCTCACACGCCAGCCCCTAAGAAATCCCATGGTGGCAGTGGCAGTGGCAGCATCTGTAGTGACGGTTGGACCTGCAGGATTCTAAAATGCTGAGGGAGGGGAACCTTTGTCTCTGATCAGAGGAGCTGTGATCATCTGTGTGGGACAGACCCCTGTTGCTTTTTGTTTTCTCTCTGCCCTCCTGCTGGTTGATCCTGGACATCAGTGTAATTGCAAAAACTGTGAAACAGAGTCAATAAAAAGCTCCAACTTTCTGGTTGGAGAATTCCAGGTAACCAGAAAGTACTGAAGAGATTGCCACAGGGAGGAGATTGGGAAAGCAACCCCATAAAGTTGCTTATGAATTCTTGGGCCCACTTCCAAGTGCATATGCCCATGCCCATGCTGACTCCAAACAGCATACAAGTTTAAGAACTGAACTTAAACTTGTTCTAATAAGAACTTGGAATTCTTATTAGATACTATGGAGGACAGAAAGAAGTGAAACAACATTCCTAAAGTGAAGAAAGAAAAAATACTGTCAAGCCAGAATTCTATATCCAGCAAAAATACTTTCCGGAAGGAAAGTGAAATAAAGACATTCTCAATGAAGGAAAACTAAGAGCCAGCAGACTGCCCAAAAATAATTGCTAAAGGAAGTCCTTCAGACTGAAGAAAAATTATACCAGAGGAAGGAAACTTGGGATATCAGAAATGAAGAGAGAGCAACAAAAATAACAAATACATAGGTAAATATGAGAGTATTCTTCTCCTCTTGAATTATTTAAAATACTTTTCTAAAGCAAAAATTAGAAAATATCTAGAACTGAACAAAAATGAAAATACAACACATCAAAATTTGTGGATGCAATTAAAGCATTGCTTAGAGAGAGATTTATAGCATTAAATGCTTATATTGGCAAAGAAGAAAGTTCTCAAATCAACAATCTAAACTTCCACCTTGAGAAGCTTTTAAAAAGATGAGCTAAATCAACCCCAAACAGCAGAAGAATGGAAAAAATAAAGATAAGGGCAAAAATCAATGAAATTGAAAACAGAAAACCAATAGATAAATATCAGTGAAACAAAAAACTCAATAAAACTTGATAAATCTTTAGCCAGACAGAGAGAAAGAGAGAGAGAGAGCATGAGGGGAATGTGGGAGGGTGGCAGTAGGCAGGGATTGCCAATATCAGGAATGAAAGAGGAATATGACTTCAGACCCTATAGACATCAAAAGAATATTAAGGGAATACTATGAAGAACAACTCTACACGCAAAAATTCAACAACTTCAATTAAATTGCCTGATTTCTTGAAAATTACAAACTATGAGATGTACTAAAGATTAAATAGATATTAAAGAGATTGAATTCATGGTTTAAAATCTTTCAAAAAAGAAAGCTCTAAACCCAGATGGTTCCACTGGTGAATTTGCCAAATGTTTAAAGAATAACTAACATTATTTCTACAGTTTCTTCCAGAAAATATAAGATGAGGGAACAGTTCCCAACTTACTCTATAAAGGCAGCTTTACCCCGATACCAAAACCAGACAAAGATAGTACTAGGAAAGAAAACTGGAGACTAATATACCATATAAACAGAAACACAAATATTCCAACAAGATATTAGCAAATTGAATCCAGTAATATATAAAAAGAATAATACACCACAATCAAGGAAGTTTATCCTGGCAATGCAATGTTAGTTCAATATTTCAAAATTATTCAGTATAATCCACCATACTAATATCAAAACACAGCATTAAGAAAATGAATAGGTGAACCACAGGTAGAAAGAAAATATTTGCAAAACAAAATATCTGATAAAGGACTTGTATTCAGAATATATAAATAACTCTGAAGACTCAACAAAAACAAATTGGACAAAAGATTTGAGCAAACATTTTACCAAAGAAGCTATATTGTTGGCCCACAAGCCCATGAAAAGATGCCCCAAATTGTAGTCATTAGAAAAATGCAGATTAAAACTACAGTTTACCCAGTAGGATAGCTGAAATTAAAAAGACTGACAATGTGAAGCCTTGGTGAATATGGAGAAACTGGAATCCTCATACGTTATAAGCAGGAATGCAAAGTGGTACAGCCACTTGGAAAATCAGTTTGGCAGTTTTTTTTAAAGTTAAACATATACGTACCATGTGGTCCAGCGATTTCATTCCTAGATATTTACCTAAGAAAAATAAAAATATGTCCTCACAAGACTTGTATTTGAATATAGCATAAGCATTCATAATAACCACAAATGGTAATAATACAAATGTTCATCATCTAGTGAACGGGTAATCAAACTATAGTATATCTATGCAATAGAATATTACTCAGCAACTAAGAGGAATGAACTACTGATACACATAACAGCATGGATGAATCTCAAAAGCATCATGCTAAATGAAAGAACCTAGTCACAAAAGTCATAACATACTATATGATTCCATTTGTATGAAATTCTAGAAAAGGCAAAACTATAATAACCTGAAGCACATCAGTGGTTCCCTGGGGGAAAGGATGTACTGCAAAAGGGCAGAAGGGAGCTTTCGGTGAGTGAAAGAAGTGTACTGAAACTGGATTGTGGGGGGCTGGCTGCATGACTGTACATGTACGCATGCAATTTACCAAAATGCATCAAACTATACATCTAAAATGTAGGTGAATTTTATTACATGTAAATTATGCCACAATACAGATGTAAAAATTAAAATGAAGGTTAAGTAAAGATGTTTCCAGACAAACAAAACATGAGAGAATTCAATGCCAGCAGCTGTAAACCAAAAGAAACACCATGAAGTTCTTCAGGCTAAAGGAAAATGATATCAGATGTTAGCGTGGAAGAGCACTGGAAAGGGTAAATGTGTGGTTAAATGTACAAGAATGTTGACTGTTTACATCAAAACAATAATAACCCCATTTGTAGAACTAAAATACAATACAATGGTAACAATAGCTCAAACTGTGGGAGGGTGATAAATGCAGTTTAACTGTTGCAAAGTTTCTTGCCTTATTTAGGAAGTGGTAAAATCAAAAGTACTTACTTAAGGTAGACTGTAATACATCAAGAAGGCATATTGTAATCTCTAGGGTAACCACTAAAAGAACTATTGTAAGAATGTGTAACTAAAACGTGAATAAAGAAGAAAAATGGAATAATTAAAAATGTTTTCATAATCCAAAAGAAGGCAAGACAGTTGGACCCCCAGGAACCTGTTGAGATCCCGGGCCTGATCCTCTGCCCACCTAGGCCCCTGCCAGCTGCACGGGTCCTGGAGGAGTGGGAGGGAGGGAAAGGGGAGCAAAAGTAAAGGCCGGACCTCCGGGACGGCACCCCTGAGTGGTGGCTGGGGAAGGGAAGGAGTTCCTACACCCAGTGGGACCCACCCACGGTTCGGGGTCCAGCGGGGATGGGGGTACACCTGGAGGAGACGGTGGGGGGGAGCGTGAAGGAACAGAAGGGAACGAGGTGAGTGCTTCACCTGTCCACTTAGGCACCGGGAAGGCTGTTGGGATCCCAGGCCTAATCCTCTGCCCTTGGAGCCTCCTTCCTGCTGCGCAGAGCACAAGCCCCGCCCCTACACCCCCACCCAGGGCCCCACCTCTACACTCAGAGACCCCCTCCCACAAGCTGGGCTTAAACCCTACCCACACACCCTCACTCAGGGCCCTACATCCAAACTCTGGAACCCCACACTCCAGAGGCCCTTCTTTCCATGTGCTGCCTCTCCCCTTCCATGCAGGTCCGAAGCAGAGGCCCAGTGCCATGCTCAAACTTAACCCGCCACCTGCCTAGGTCCCACTGCACCCTAAACCCCACCTCTGCCTAAGTTCCACCCCCCACCTAAACTCCACCTCCACACCCAAGGCTTTTATTTTCCTCTTTTAGATTGGGGTTCTGTTTTACCTTGTTGATTCTTTTATATTTTTATTTTTCCTAATAACTCTTTTACTTTTCTAATTTTATTCTTTATACTTTGTTAGTGATCTCTCCTTTTGGTGTGTTGCCCCCCACACACTTTTTTTTTTCCTTTTTTCTGCTGTGGTTTTATTTTACCTGGTTGCAGTTGTTTCAATTATAGTTTTATTTTTCCTAATATATTCTTTATCTTTCTAATTTTATTGTATTTTTTATTCTTTGATATTGTACTGCTCCTTTTTTTCTTTCTTTCGTCCTTTTTTTTTAACCATGCCATGAAGCTTGCAGGATCTTGGTTCCCAGGCCGGAGGTCAGGCCCATGCTCCTGTGGTGGGAGCTCCAAGTCCAAACCGCTGTACTAACAGAGAACTTCAGACCCCACGGAATATCAGTTGGAGTGAGGCCTCCCTGAGGTCCTCATATCAGCACCAGGACCCAGCTCTATCTAACTGCCTGCAAACTCCAGTGCTGGACACCTCAGGCCAAACAACCAGTAAGATAGGAATACAGCATCACCCATCAAAAAAAAACAAAAATGAAATGACAAAAAAATATGTTACAGATGAAGGAGCAAGGTAAAAACCTACAAGACCAAGTAAATGAAGACAAAATAGGCAAACTACCTGAAAAAGAATTCAGAGTAATGATAGTAAAGATGATCCAAAATCTCGGAAACAGAATGGAGAAAATTCAAGAAACATTTAGCAAGGATCTAGAAGAACTAAAGAGCAAACAAACAGTGATGAACAACACAATTACTGAAATTAAAAATACTCTAGAAGGATTCAATAACAGAATAACTGAGGCAGAAGCACAGATAAGTGAGCTGGAAGATAAACTGGTGCCAGGGAGCAGAATAAAGAAAAAAGAATGAAAAGAATTGAGGACAGTCTCAGAGAACTCTGGGACAACATTAAACACACCACCATTCGAATTATAGTGGTCCCAGAAGAAGAAGACAAAAGAAAGGGTCTGACAAAGTATTTGAAGAGATTATAGTCGAAAACTTCCCTAACATGGGAAAGGTAATAGTCAATCAAGTCCAGGGAGCACAGAGAGTACCATACAGGATAAACCCAAAGAGAAACACGCCGAGACACATATTAATCAAACTATCAAATATTAAATACAAAGAAAAAATATTAAAAACAGCAAGGAAAAAGCAATAAATAACATGCAAGGGAATCCCCATAAGGTTGACAGCTGATTTTTCAGCAGAAACTCTGCAAGCCAGAAGGGAGTGCAGGACATATTTAAAGTGATGAAAGGGAAAAACCTACAAACAAGATTACTCTACCCAGCAAGGATCTCATTCAGATTCGATGGAGAAATTAAAACCTTTACAGATAAGCAAAAGTTAAGAGAATTCAGCACCACCAAACCAGCTTTACAAGAAAAGCTACAGGAACTTCTCTAGGCAGGAAACACAAGAGAAGGAAAAAACCTACAAAAACAAACCCAAAACAATTAAGAAAATGGTAATAGGAACATACATATTAATAATTACCTTAAATGTAAATGGAATAAGTGCTCCCACCAAAAGACATAGACTGGCTGAATGGATACAAAAACAAGACCCGTACATATGCTATCTACAAGAGACCCACTTCAGACCTAGGGACACATACAGACTGAAAGTGAAGGGATGGAAAATATAGTCCATACAAATGGAAATCAAAAGAAAGCTGGTGTAGCAATTCTCATATCAGACAAAACAGACTTTAAAATAAAGCCTATTACAAGAGACAAGGAAGGACATTACATAATGATCAAGAGATC